CTCTCTCTCTCTCTCTCTCTCTCTCTCTCTCTCTCTCTCTCTCTCTCACACACACACACACACACACACACACACACACACACACACACATACACAACCTTCTGCTGTGTCTGTTTGAAGCGAAGGGCAATTGACAGGACTGTTTTTCTCCTGTGCTTATTCACTTATTTAACACCAGCACAATTCACTTTTTGGAGAGGGACGGAGAAGTAGAGAAGAAGAGGGAGAGGGAGAAGGAGAGGGAGAAGGGAGGGAGGGAGAGAAAGGGAGAGGCAGAGAGGGGGAGAAGAAGAGGGAGAGAAGGAGAGGGGGAGAGGGAGAAGCGAGAGACGGGAGAAGAGAGATGAAGAAGAGGGAGTGGAAGGAAGAGGGAGAGGAAGAAGGAGAAGGGGAGAGGGAGAAGAGAGAGAGAGAGGGGAGAAGAGAGAGGGAGAGAAAGGAAGAGGGAGGGAGGGAAAGGGAGGAGAGAGAGGGGGGGAGAAGAGAGTGGGAGAGAAAGGAAGAGGGAGGGAGGGAGAGGGAGGGAGAGAGAGAGATTTCCCCACTGTTTCCTGGCTGCTTCAGTTTATTAAGAGCGGACGGCATCTAACTGGCTCCTGACAAAGACTGGATCCATCCACCCATCCATCCACCCATCCCCCCTTGGAGGAACCTTTTGACAAAACCAGCCAACTGCAGGGTGAAAGGCGGCCTCCCCTCCCCTTGCAGGTAGCTAACCCCCATGGGGGGGGGGCAGTGGCGATCCTGTGCCAGACGACAAGGAATTATGGGGCTGGGCCTCTCCTCCCCCTGCTCCCCCCCCCCAGCCCTGGTGGACATTGGAAGGAGAGGCAAAAGAGGAGGAGGGGAGGAGGAGGCCTCCTGGAAGCTCTCCCCCCAACCCCCCCTCCCTCTTTAATTTCATTTAACGCAGAGACCTAGAAGGATTAGAAACGGAGGATTTTCCAGACAAGATGCCTTTCCTTTGAAACAACCCAACTGGCCTTCCTCCAACTCTTTTGTTGTTGTTGTTGTTGTTGTTGGCCGAGAGGCAAAGGGAGAGAGGAGAAAAGAAAAGAGGAAAAGGGGGAAGGGGAAGAAGGGGGACAGAGAAAGTGGCATGATTAACTCAACGTGTTTAACTTCTCCCCTCTTTGGTTCTCCTCCTCATTGGGAGGAGGAGGAGGGGGGGGGAGAAGAAGGGGAAGAAGAAAGGGAAAAATAAGAGGAAGGAGGAGAAG